CAGGTTCTATGCTGCCAACAGTCACACACATCACTTCAGATACCATGCTGTCTGCGTCTAACCACGGAGTCGCACAAAATGCACAAATCATCCATAACGTAAATTACGTTATGGATGATTTGTGCATTTTGTAACTTGTCATAAATAGAGCATTTCTCAGTACTGTGTTATAATTCAACATTACTAATGTTGAATTATAACACAGTATTGAAAAATGCTCTATTTATGACAAGTTACCTACTCAAAATTATCTACTCAAATATGCATATTAATTTTTATTGGTCGGTACTATCACGGACTTAAATCTAATTCCGTGGTACTATCAAAACTTCTCAAAATGGACATAATCTCCAATTAGCAAAAAACAACAAGGACGTGTGCAGAAATCAAGTAAAGAAAACATCGTCACACGGCGCCGAGTATGCGTACAGCCGTACACTAAACTAATTTAAATGTGTTAACATGGAAATAATATTATTGTATACCCCGCAATTTTTAAAATTACACCATTTTTGTTTCATTTCACTATTCTTAGTTATTTCTAAAATTAAATTCAATATATGTTATAATGTGTGTCGGCGTTAAGAAAATAACGTAATCCGTTTTTTTGCTTTACAATGTACTTAAAACAACACAAACACATTTAAAAAAAAAAAAAAAACTGATTTTATTGATATGAAAGACTAAGAAGACTTAATTTGTGACTTAAAACAAATAAAAATGAAAAGAAAATACCAAACAATGTTTCGCCCTAAAAAAATTGTTTTAGGGCGAAACAACCTGGCGCGAAACAACCTAGGGAGAACGGGATTTGGGGCGAAACAACCCGGAACCGCCAATACTAGCTATTATCTCTCACACGGCGCAATACCAACCTGATCAACTACAGGCACATTAGTATTATTATGGCACACACTATAACATATATAATATAACTACCGACATACGTTTACCCAGCGCAAATATTTATGAAATACAAAATAAATGCAAAATATTTACATGTCGAACTAAACCACTAGTTTGACCACCATGACAAATGATTAGCTGTTTAATTATGGAAGGGGATCACCGCCATAATTATTTTTTATAGAATTAGTTCCTTCTGGTTTTGAATCTAATTCTATGTACATTTGTATTATTTCCCTAGTTGATAAGTTATATAATTAGTTACTTCTGGTTTGGAATCTAATTCTATGTACATTTGTATTATTTCTCTAGTTGATTAGTCTAGTGTCTATTTTCCATGCTATGTACATTTGTGTTGTTTCACTCGTTTACAAATCTATTGCGTGTTCATTCCATGCTATGCTAGTTTTACCGATCGCGATTTCGACATCGTTTATGATGGAGCGCCGCTTGTCGTCTTAATGAGGAACTAAAGTTCTAGAACTCATTCTAGAATTTATTCTAGAATTTTAGTTCTCATTAAGACAACATCCGGCGCTTAAATCGCCAACGAAATTCGCGGAAAAAAATGCTCGCTCCCTTAAACCGGAAACAGACCCGATTGTGGCAGTGGATTTTGGAAAAATGCAGTCGACAGTGCGGTAAGTCTTGGTTATGACAGCAATTGAACTGTAATCTATTTAGGTTTGAGCCAAAATTGTTTGTATCGTAGCAGAAAATCGTCATATTTATAGTTAGGATGCCGTAGCCATAACGAAATCCCACAAGTATTTGGTAACTGGCAAAATGTTAACCCTGCACACAGCTGGGGTTCGTTACAATGAAATCATCAAATGCATGTCTGAAATACAGAACTGATATTGGTGCTGTCATTGCTTGACAAAGGGACAAGTCGGTCTTGGAAGGTTGCGACACGTTTAATAGCGAACGCAACGAGCTCTTTTTGTATCGTATGCGTGGTATATTATATAGTTCAAGCAAAAATCTAAATATAGTAACACAAAACGAAACTACAATACTATGCGATCTTTTTTCTTTACATCGTGCAGAACGGACTTTAAAATTTGCGACGCTCTGATTGTTATTAATAGATCAGAAGTTCAAAATTCACCGTTTTAAACATCTCTGTGGGAATAGAAAATATGTTTCACATCGTAACTTATTTGCGTAAACTTTGCAAATGTATTTGTTATGGTTTGAAATGTTTCTTCATTAAAACAGGTTTAAAAATTTAGTTTTCGATGTTTTTGACGAATCACGTTAAGCAATAAAAATGTTTGTGGTCTGAAAGTCGCGGGCTTCAAAATTTGCTACATTTTGATTGGTTGAAAAGACTGGAACAGATCAACTTCGCCGGGAATAAGAACACGGGAGGGTAAAGGCCTACCGATCGACAAGAGTAGCTATTGAGCGAATTTTACCAGTATTGACCTCTCACAGACAGGTATTATGTTTGACTCTAAGGTCTACTGATTTCAATATGTGCCTGTCACTCTATCATCAAGAAAACAGTCGTCAGCTTCATGAAAGCTAGCTAGGCCTGTGCAAGTCTAGTCTCAACGACAATGCTGATGTGCCGCCTGGGGTATGTCACTGTGTACGTGCATAAATGTGTACTTTTATGTGGGTTAAAGGTGATTGAAATAATTTATGCTTCACCTACTTTGTCGGTTCGTGTCGGTGTCACAATATGCTGTTTAATGCTGTAGATCGCGAGGTTTCCATACATCAGGAAATCTGGGACAAGTTACATTGACAAAGGACTAGTAAATAATCTATTTAACTAGTCCTGTGTACTACCAAGCAAAAAAAAGTAAGTGTCTAACCCTGGGAAAATGATTTGTGAACTGCTTTGAGACGACCTAGGAAATAGGTTGTGATGAAGCGGTATATACATTTGTAAGAACCTCAAATTATTATTATAGGCAACTACCAAAGTTTTCCCCAGGTCTGTTACCACCCAGAAATACACTCATGCTAGCCCCTTCCAGGAGTCATACAGGGCTAGGATATACAATATAGTAATTAGTTCAGGGGTCATCCAGGGCTAAGATATACAACATATTAATAAGTGAACTATAGGTTACAGGTTGATTTTGAAAAAATACAAACAAGCCCAACTTATGTTTCATAGTAAACATCAACATTTGTTTACTAGTTTGGGGCTTTGGGCTTGTCAATTTAGGCAAATATGTAGATTTTTCATGAACCGAAAAAAAATTGGACATTGTTTACATGAACTAGGCAAACATATGCGTTATGGTTTGAAGTGTTTCTTCCTTAAAACGGGTTTAAAAATTAAAGTTATCAACGTTTTTGACGAATCATGTTTCGCAATACAAATATTTGCGGTTTGAAAATCGCGGGCTTCAAAATTTGCCACATTCTGATTGGTTGAAAAAGACCAGAACAGGAAACTTCACTGGGAAGCCTGCATGATCAATATAAGAGTTTGGAGTGAATTTTAACAGTTTTGACCTCATCACAGACAAGTTTCATGTTTGACTCTAAAAGGTCTACCAATTTTAATATGTGTTTTTCACTCTTTCAACAAGAAAACAACTGTCGGCTTCACGAAAGATAGGCCTGTGCAAGTCTAGTCACTTCAGTGCAAAGGAGAACCGATCAGACGAAGAGATTCTTTGTTTATCAACGACAATGCTGATGAGCCCCCTGAGATACATGTATGTACGCGCATATGTGGGTTAAAGGTAAGTATGCGTAGCCTACTTTTTCAGTTCGTGTCTGTGTCACAACACGACTCCCCCGTCCCCCTCCCTACCCTGGTCTGATTTGCTTCAAGTCAGTCGCACATGCTATACTGATATGGGTCACAGAACACATAATGCTGAGACCCATATCAACATAGCATATATAGTGTATTTCAGAGGTTCAAGATGGAAAGTCGAGGGGGATTCGAGATTCATTTATATATAATAAGGCGGCAATTGCTGGTAGTTTGTAATGGGTTAAGATGTACAAAATGTATTTAGACGTGTTGAAAAAAGTTTCTTTTTACAAGTTATTTAATCAGTTTTGTCTCTTCTATTTAATTAAAAACAACGAAACTTACAAAAAATGACAAACATCAAGCATTCCATTAAGTCTCCTTAATGCATATTATATATATATGTGTGTATGTGAGGGTGTGTGTGTATGTGTGTTATGGACTGTGGTCTGAGTGTACAAACATATATATGATTTGCTAAGAAAGTGTTTTATAAGTTTTCAAATGTCATCAAATAATGTTTCTTTTTCTTTCTTATAATTATAACTTGGTTGAATGTTCTAGCCTATATGTTTGTAAGTGTATATGAGTGTGTCTTGTTGAGCAATGTATTAAATGTATGCTTTCTGTCCATCTATACCGGTTAAGAGAAGACTTATATAGGCTAAGCCTCTTGTCTCATCCAATTGTTCAATTTTTTTGTCCAATAAAATTTGTTGAAATAAATATTAGTCCCCTTTACATGTACCAGGGATGTGTAGTGGACTACACATCCCTGCATGTACAATGTCTTTTACCATTAACGTTATTATTTCTAATATTTGTTCTACCTTTAATTGTATCTGTATTTAATAAAGGCATGAATTGCACTTATTTTTTTGTAAACAAATGATATATGGTTATAAA